TGGACAGGGTACATTGCAGTTGTATTTTTTATGGTCCTGTAATGCTGGAAGGCAATCGCCCATTTACATTTTCAGTGCAAGGTGAAGTTAAGAAAGTGCAGCTGTTTTTCAAAAAGCAGGACTAATTCTGAGCACAAGAAAGCCTATGATAACTGTCTGTCTTTTACAACATTTATGAAAATGAGATTTGAGCTTTTTGGAGGTTTATTCGCTTAGAGTGTACTGGATTTTAGACTACTTTAGTATGAACTGGATATTGTCAACAGTTAGCTGTACAACTGTACATATACAAGTATTAAAACTTGTAAGTCGCTATCACCTCTGAGTCTGTGGCACTTTTGTTCAATATTCAGCTTATATAATTATTATATTTACATCTTGCATATCATGCATGCATTCATGCATATTTGCAGTCTACAATGCAGTTTTAAGCCTTTTTATTAAGAGAGAGAGAGAGACACACAAAACCTTGAAATATCTGAGTTGCTTACATTTTTAATATACGTGTAAGTTTTAAGTGCTGTATATGTTTTTGTATGCACCAGGTCTTATTGAACCATTGGTGTTATCTTGAGTACTTTACATGAACCTAAAGTTTCCAAATGAAAACTAAGAAAAGAAAAAACATGAAGGTTTTTTTAAGAAATGTGTTGTATCATATTAACAAACAGCATGACACAACTTTCCAGAATACTTTCCAGCCATAAATGAAATGTCTTTAAAGGCTTGACGACACGTACGACAGCCAACCTTTTTGATGTGGTCAAGCTTTAAAGAATATCTTGAAAAGAATTGAATTAAACTGGGGCTGTAAACTCATATTAAGGTGGAAAATTGGTTCAAATTGGTTCAAATTGATCACTGCTGCCCATTGGACAAAAGGTCCCCTCCATGACAGTCCCCTCCATGACAATAACCACGAGCACTTACTGTTCCTGTACAATGTAAGACAGGAGGAAGGCCTTTTCCATTTAAGGCAGTTTTATTGTTGATTAACATCTAAATAAACTATGTACTAAATAATATTATTGTTGCTGCTGTTATACATTCACAGAAATCTGAGATTAAATTTTAACTTTCAGTTTTCATAGTTTCTCTGGTCCCCTCCGTGACAATCTAAATAAATGACTAATACCCCCCAAATGTGGAAGAAGTCGTTTGGAAATAGTTTGATTTAAAACAATCATTAGCTGTTCTATCCATTAGAAGTCCTCAGTGAACTGAATTATATTAAGCTGGGGAGCTATCCATGATATTCTCCTCTGAATTGTCCCCTCCGTGACATGCAAAATACTGTGGAATGACCCTGTACCTCATGCACAGCAGTGACAGCAGACTTGGACAAGATAAAAACAATGTCACAACTGTCATCTGGTGAGATCAACATCTGCAGTCCAACCATGAAGTTGAAGTTTAAGTTTAAGTTTAAGTTGAATCCATTCGCCATGGGAGTGGCAGGAGAAAGGAACAGGACTATCGTCCCAATTGACACCTAACCCCTTTGTACCCACCATCCCACCCCGGGGAGGACATCCATCACACAGTAATCGCGTGCGTGGGAAATTAACGTCTCCTACCCCCAACCCTGCAGGAGACGGGACCTCCATTTATTCGTCCCTATCC